GAGCTTGGGTACAACAAGAAAGAGATCGAGGCACTTCATAAAAAGCTTGACCAGTTGTTGAATGAAAGGAAAGATGTCAATTTTGTTGGTGATTTGGTTCAAGTCCAAGACAATGAGGATTCACAAGTTGAAGAGATAAACTATGTTGGAAACCAAGGTGGTTACAACAATTACAAGTATAGGAACAATCCCAATTTGTCTTATAGGAGTAACAATGTTTCCAACCCACAAGATCAAATGTATCCTCCTCAACAATGACAACAACAAGCTGGACAACCAAGAGCCTTTGCTCCTTACAATAACAATCAAAGATTTGTGCCTAGGAACAACAATCAAGGCAACGTCCAACAAGACCTCAGTTTCATCCACCAGGATTTGTTGCTCAAGGACAAGCTCAAGCTTCATCTAGCTCTCATGATTCTGATGTCAAGAGCCTTCTCCAATAGTTTCTACAATCTCAACTGAATGGTAATTTGAAGATGAACAGGGAATTTGCTGATGTTCACAACAGGATGGACACAATTCATGTTGAGCTCAGTACCAAGTTTGATGATTTAGCTTCAAGAGTGAAAACCTTGGAGAACAACAAAGGAGTTGCTACTGGACCACGTCCCCAAGGTAACCTCCAGGGAAAGTGTGAGATGAACCCCAAGGAGTATTGTCAAGCTGTTGAGTCTAAAGATGATTTTGAGTCCTGTTGATGAAGAGACAGTTATTGAAGAGCTCCTCTCTTTGTTCAATGAGGACATTGAAGTTCAGGGTGAGGGGAAATATCTTGTAAAGGCTATTGAAGACAAGAAAGAGGTGATCCTCTATGTTCCTCCTCCACTTTACAAGTCAGCTCTTCCATATCCAGGAAGGTTCAAGACGCAACTAGTGGAGAAGTACTCTGCTCTCTATGCTGCACAAATGAAGTTGAGAGGGATTGATGTTGAGGATAAGCTGAAAGAAGCTCCAATCAAGGCTGAGGAGTGTGCTGTTAAGAAGATAGATGATCCTGGTAGGTTCACTCTCACTTGTGGACTAAAAGGTCAGATATTCAAAAGCTGCTTATGTGACCTTGGAGCTAGTATAAACCTTCTACCTTTCTATACTACAAAGTCTTTGGGTACACTGATTTCAAGCCTAGTCATGTCTCTCTTACCTTTGCTGATGGGTCTATCAAGAGACCACTTGGAGCTCTACTTGATGTTCCAATGATGATGGAAGATGTTAAAGTGCCAATAGACTTTTTGGTACTAGATATTGAGCTAACAATGAAAGATCCTATCATCTTAGGCAGGCCTTTCTTGTCATCAGATGGAGCTGTCTTTGATGTGAAGAATGGAACTAATGAGCTAAGGCTGAGGGAAGATAAGGTGTTGAGCTACGACACCAAAGGTACCAAGAAGTGGGGTAATGAACAAGCTTACTGCATGGATGCTAAGAAGTGGAGCTTGGTTGCTGAAGACTTGCTTTCTTATAATGAATATGATGGGGGAAATTTTGATCGATGCAGCCTCCTCCACATGTTTGATGAAGATGAACCATTACAATCAATGGATGTTCAAGAGATAGCTTCAATAGGGATCATGAAGACCATTCAGCTTGATTCTTTAATTATATAATATAAATATATATGTAAGAAGAAAACAATACATTTTAAAGTATCTTCATGCTAATGGCAAATATAATTTGTTTTCTCCACTAAATTGCCATTTGATCTTTCCTTGTAATTATATAAAGCAACATACCACTTAAAAAAAGATTTATTAATTAATATGATTATTTTGAATTATAAATTTATTTATTTATCAAATATTTATTATAAACATATGTTTGTATACCACTAAACTATAATCAATAATTCACAAAATATGAAAAACAGCATCCGTTCCAAACAAGACGATTCTTATGCGATAACAAACAACAAATGTTTTCTCTGAAATTCTTCCGACCGACGTTGGAGCGGCTCTGACGTCGGTCGTACTCTTCTTTCTCTTTTAATTATTAGTTATGTTGTTTAATTATTTATGGCAATGATTGATAAAATTCTCGATCCAATAAGGATTCAGATCTCAATCTGATATTGGTTCTATTTCTGCTGTTGGTGGTGTCTCAAAGACACGATCTCATCGATCTACGCTAGAGCTCTAGAACCAAGTATGACCAAAGTGCATCAGTTTGGCCTGTTCAACCATGTTGGTCGTCCTGACTCCGTTAGTGCATGTCGTGGCTAGAAGCGTCGATATTCTTTTTATGTCCACATCAATTTCTGTGATTCTATGGTAGAAGAAATTCATCGTGGAGGAGATATGCATCACAAAGCCTTGTTGTCTAAGCCATCCCAACGAAAAACCACTTTCTGTGGTTTTAAGTGTACTTCTTATGACAACTGCGGTGGTGATGGTCTTTCGGTTATTCAACCGTGTTTTCGCTCGAATCAGGGCGTGTATTGTCAGAGGAACAATTTTAACCACTTGTATCCATTCCAGGTTCGTAAATATTGACGGAGTATCTAGAGATTGTGATAAATTCTAGAATTCTTTTCAATCTCTATAAATTATTAGTCGATAAATTATTAATCCTAGTTAGCAATCGCTAACGCTGCAATTAATGTTATACGGTAAAATCTCTATAAATTAATAATCGATAAATTAATAATCAATATAAATTAATAAAGTATACCAGTCCCAAGTTGGGCCAGGTACAAATTAGAAAATTTCGATAAGATAATTCTATAAATTAACAAGTTATTAGTATTTAATAACTTAATATTTTATGAACTGAAAACTTACTCTATAAATTAATATTTTAGTAATTTATCTATAAATTAATAGTTATTAATTTTTTAATTAATTAATAACTCTATAAATTAATAAAATTTTGAAGTCTCAATATTATTAATTTATAGAGTTTATTGTATGTGATTTTGGTGGAATCGACCATATTTCATTAGTTCATATGGTATTTTAAATTTTTAAATAGTTCATGTAGTTATTAGCATTAGTTCATAGATCATATATAAATTACAGTAGAACCTCTATAAATTAATACTCGATAAATTAATAATCACTATAAATTAATAATTTTTGTCGGTCCAAAGTTGGGCCAGTGTAAAAATTAGCAAATTTCGATAAGATAATAAGATAATATTTTTTTTTTGAAACTCCTATGTAAAAGTATAGTTCCAATAATTATATAAATTAATAATTATACATTTAAGCATATATATATAATATAATATAGTAAAATATAATTATATTATTGTTTTAAGTTTATAAAAATTGTTTGACTTATTTTTTAAATTCACTGATATGATAATTTCTGAATAAATTTTACATTGTTGAAAATATTTTTTTTGTTTTTTTATAAATATTTTGGATTTGAACTGAAATATCTCTCTATAAATTAATAAAATATTAATTTTTTGATAAATTAATAATTATTAATTTATCGATTAATTAATAATTCTATAAATTAATAAATTGTTGCAGTTCCAACATTATTAATTTATAGAGATTTTACTGTATCAGTAATTTGAAAGTTTATAAGAAAATCGGCTATTTTTCATATCACATGTCATTCTAGTAAACAATCGCTGACGCTACATATAATGTTATATACAATTTTGGTGAAATCGATTATATTTTATTAGTTTATATAATATTTTCAAAATTTTAAATACTTCATGTAATTATTAACATTAGTTTATAAATTATATATGAATTATTAAAAACTTATTAATTTATAGAAAAATTAACCGTTTTTTCTTCTAAAATAAAATAAATTATTTTTATTATCCATGAAATTTTGGGCCTTTCTATTTGGTAATGATTGTTTCCAAGTTAGAAGAATTGAGAAAACAAATAAATATCCTACTTTGTTAATAGATCACCTTTGACCATATTTTTCAACGTGGATCAACCGAAAAAGATCCAACAAAATAATTTCAGTGTTTTAATAATGTTATTAATTTAAATCTGTAAAACAAATTATGGGACTATTTGGGGTTTCTTTCATCAATAGGATGGCGAAAAATATTTAATAAATAATAAACAACGCTAACATTTATGACAACTCTATCTCACTCTTCAAATACTATAATTCATTGTCCTTTTCAGCGAATCCAAGAGGTAAATATAAAAGAAAGAAAATGAAAAGAAAACCAAACAGTATTTTTCAACGGTCACGATCTCGAGACAAATATCCAACGGTCAAAAATAGGTCACTCTGGTACTGACACCACCTCTCATAATTCTCGTTAGTGGGACCCTCTCTCTTCTTCCTTTTTCTTCTCCACTGTGCTCAGTTTCAAACCGGGTTAAACCGGATCGAATCCGGGTCGGGCCGGGTCCTTTATAAGAAGAGGAAAACCACTCACTTTCTCTCTCTCCCTTTCACCCCCACGCACTCTGCTTTCTCTCTCTGACACATATCTTTTTCTCTCTCTAGCCCTTTCTCTCTCTTCTGTTCTGAAAGCCAAAGTGTCTCTCCTTCAGACAGCGATGGAACTGCTTCGAGCGATTTAATTAATGCCCACGAGAAGCCAAGTGAAGAAGAGATTGTATCTTGTCTTCTTCTTTGATTCTCCACTCCACAAAGATCTCACAAGAAGGGTCTTTCTTTAGCTAACTTCTTTTGCTTCTTGGTTTCTTCTTAGAGTGTTGCTCAATGCGTAGCTCTAGCGTTCAAGCTTTGATGATGAGAAGAAACAGATTCTTGTTCTGAGAAATGGGGCTTATTGTGTTTTGGGGGTTTAAGGAAGATTCTGTTCTAAGCTTTCTCTGAGTCTATATGGTGGGAGAATTTGAGAAGGAGCTAAGGAGATGGAGAAAGACGAGTTTGTGCTTCCTGGGCTAAAGAGTTATAGCTGCTGTAGTTGCTGGAAGTGAAGATAATTAGATTGTACGGAAAATTAGGGTTTTTTTTGTTGAAGTTAGTACCTTTGTGTTCTGTCAGTCAATTAGAAAGAAAAAAAAAACAAAAAAAAATCTGGATTTTACTACTACTCTTCTGATATGAAGCTGTCAACATCTGGATTGGGTCAACAGGGTCATGAAGGTGTGTATCTCTTTATAAAATCTCTGGTTTCATATACTTTTATTTCTGGAGACAAGTTTCTAAGTTCTTGTATTGGTCCTAACAGGAGAGAAATGTCTGAATTCTGAGCTATGGCATGCTTGTGCTGGACCATTGGTCTCTCTTCCATCATCTGGAAGCCGTGTTGTCTACTTTCCACAGGGTCACAGTGAACAGGTTATATCTCTTCTTCTTCTTTATTTGGGGTTTAAAGATTTAGTTTTTTGTTGTTGTTGTGAAGTTTAAAAGTATGGAGCTTTAGTTTTTTTTGTTACTTGTTTTATATTTGGGTATTTCCATTTAAATCGAAATGTACTTGTAGGTAGCTGCTACAACTAATAAGGAAGTTGATGGTCACATACCCAATTACCCAAGCCTACCACCACAATTGATTTGCCAGCTCCATAATGTTACAATGCATGTGCGTAGTTAGTTCCCTGTCCCTTTCCACTTCAATTTACCTTTTAAAGTGGTTTTTGGGATATAATGTGCTTTGTAAGTATGGGTTTCGTTTTCTACTCTTTTTCAGGCAGATGTGGAGACAGACGAAGTCTATGCTCAAATGACACTTCAACCATTGACACCGGTACAAAATACAAATATACATACATAAACAGAGCTTTTCATTTACTCAGAGTCTTTGAATAAGTTACTTAAAGAGTTGATGTTTGTTATAGGAGGAGCAGAAGGAAACATTTGTACCGATTGAGTTGGGGATACCGAGCAAGCAACCTAGCAATTACTTCTGTAAGACTCTCACAGCTAGTGATACTAGCACTCATGGAGGGTTTTCAGTTCCTAGACGCGCTGCTGAGAAAGTTTTTCCTCCATTGGTATATAACACTTTTTCTTTAGCTTACCTACTGAAAAATTGTTTGTTTTGTCAATATATGTGTACTCCTTGTGATATCTTGTGGCTCTTCTCTGTTGCAGGACTACTCACTGCAGCCACCAGCACAAGAATTGCTCGCAAGGGATCTCCATGATGTTGAATGGAAATTTAGGCATATCTTTCGGGGTAGGTTTCACTCTTTAATAGCATACATGTGTTTTCTGTTAAGTATGTTTCTTAATCCTTGGATGACATTGTCTTTTGAGCTGTTAATTAACTAGGATTAACATCGTTCTGTTATGTCCTGAAGCAGCATTCTTTTTTGTTTTTTCACTGTGATTGTTTGGTTAAGTTGGAGAAACTATGGCTACTTTGTGTTTCTTGATGCTGTGTTGAAGAATTGAAACCATTTCTTTGCTTGCAAGAGCAATCACTTACATCATTCTGTTATGTCCTGAGAGCAGCATTCTTTTGGCTACTTTGAGTTTCTTGATGTTGTGTAGTATAAGAGATTATAATCATTACTTGTTCATATTAAGCCAAGTGACAAGAGTCCTTTCTTATTTCTTTTCTTGCAATAGCAATCACTTACATGGTTCTGGTGTGATTATGCAGGACAGCCCAAACGACATCTCCTAACTACTGGATGGAGTGTCTTTGTCAGTGCCAAGCGGCTAGTAGCAGGAGACTCTGTCATTTTCATTAGGTTTACTTCTTTCGTTTGTACATTCTTCACTTTGTAGATTGTGATTATGTTTTTAACCCTTATTACTTGTTGTTGTCTCAGAAATGAAAAGAATCAACTCTTCTTGGGAATTCGTCGTGCCACTAGGCCACAGACCATTGTACCATCATCTGTTTTATCTAGTGATAGTATGCATATTGGACTCCTTGCTGCTGCTGCACATGCTTCTGCAACTAACAGCTGTTTCACTGTTTTCTTTCATCCAAGGTTGAAAACAAAACCCTTCTCTTCTACTTGCATCTTCGTCCTCTCAATACATTCAACTAATCTTTCTCTTCATCTTCAGGGCTAGCCCATCTGAGTTTGTGATACAACTTTCCAAGTACATTAAAGCCGTTTTTCACACGCGTATTTCAGTTGGGATGCGCTTTCGCATGCTCTTTGAGACAGAGGAGTCCAGCGTCCGCAGGTGAATGATGCCTCAGCTTCTTGAAATGCAATGTTGATACACATAGTACTTTAACATATAATTCTGACAGAGGCACGGGACGATTTCCTCCAGGTACATGGGTACTATAACTGGTATCAGCGATCTTGATGCTGTTCGTTGGCCAAACTCTCATTGGCGATCTGTGAAGGTAGTTACACTGCAGCGTTCTGATGATTAAGTCCAATGTTGTAAGTATATATATGTAACATTGAAGATCTTTGGCATTATTTGTGTAGGTTGGTTGGGATGAATCGACTGCAGGGGAGAGACAGCCAAGGGTTTCGTTGTGGGAGATTGAGCCTCTTACTACTTTCCCTATGTATCCATCTCTGTTTCCTCTCAGGCTAAAACGTCCTTGGCATGCTGGTACATCATCATTGCATGGTATTCACCATTTGGCTCTCTTCACAGATGTTCAATTTTGTCATTTAAACTCAAATATGCTCTTTGTAGCTCTGAACAGTGTCTTAGTGTATTTACTTACTCTGCCACTGTGATGTTTACAGATGGGAGAGGTGAATCAGGAAGTGGACTAACATGGCTAAGAGGAGGAGGTGGAGAGCAGCAAGGTTTGCTTCCTCTAAATTATCCATCAGTTGGTTTGTTTCCATGGATGCAACAGAGGCTGGATCTCACTCAACTGGGGACTGATAATAATCAGCAATACCAAGCAATGTTAGCCGCCGGATTGCAGAACATAGCCGGTGGAGATCCTTTAAGACAACAACAGTTTGTCCAGCTGCAAGAGCCTCCTCACCACCAATATCTTCAACAATCAGCTTCCCACAACTCTGATCTGATTCTTCAGCAGCAGCAGCAGCAACAAACATCACGCCATCTCCTGCATGCTCAAACTCAGATTATGAGTGAGAATCAACCAGCTGTGCAGCAGCAGCAGCTACAGCAACAGCAACCGGACCAAAACGCTTATCTTAATGCTTTCAAAATGCAGAATGGTCATCTTCAACAGTGGCAGCACTCTGATATCCCTTCTCCCTCGTTCTTGAAATCAGATTTCACCAACTCTAGCAACAAGTTCACAGCAACAGCTAGTCCTATGCAACAAAGCTCTACCTCTCCTGGTTCTGGAGATAGCAACAACCTTTTGAACTTCTCTATCACCGGTCAGTCTGTACTCCCTGAGCAGTTAACAACAGAGGCTTGGTCTCCAAAAGCATCCAACACATTCTCTGAACCGCTGTCTCTTCCACAACAAGCCTATGCCGGGAAAAGCCTTGCTCCAGAACCTGGAAACCCCAACTTAAACCCTCAGAATCCTTCTCTTTTCGGCGTTGATCCTGACTCTGGACTTTTCCTACCAAGTACTGTTCCTCGCTTTGCTTCTTCATCAGGAGACGCTGAAGCTTCACCTATGTCACTAACAGATTCAGGGTTTCAAAACTCCTTATACAGCTGCATGCAAGACACAACGCATGAGTTATTGCATGGAGCTGGACAGATTAACCCGTCAAACCAGACCAAGAACTTTGTAAAGGTCCTCTCACCAACCACTTTTTTGTGTCTCTTCTATATGAAAATATACTGACTTTGCTTGCAACAGGTTTATAAATCTGGTTCGGTGGGGCGTTCACTAGACATCTCCCGGTTCAGCAGCTACCACGAGCTGCGAGAAGAGTTAGGGAAGATGTTTGCTATCGAAGGGATGTTGGAAGACCCCCTTAGATCAGGCTGGCAGCTTGTATTCGTTGACAAGGAGAATGATATTCTTCTCCTTGGCGATGACCCGTGGGAGTAAGTTAAACTAAAACTAACTCTTCTTTGTATATATATATATATATTCACATTGATTTCGAATCTTGATGAATCTTGATAAGCTTATGGTATGTAGCAAAAATGTGTGCAGGTCATTTGTGAATAACGTTTGGTACATAAAGATACTATCGCCGGAAGATGTGCAGCAAATGGGAGATCACGGCGAAGGCAGTGGCGGGTCTTTCCCACAAAACCCGACCCATCTCTAAAAGTTCTGCTTCGGTGCTGGTCACAATTGAAGTCTGCTTCCTTCCATTGATCTTTAATATGCCATTCGTTGCATCTCCTCTCTGTCTCTCTTGTTTTGACGTTGTTAGAAAGAAACATAATCATATTTGTGAGTAATGGGTCCTGAAACTTTAGAGCCTACTTTAGCTGTTGTATTAGACATTGGTCATAAACATAAGAACCCTTTCTTAGCTCTCTCAGGTAACCTCATCTATTTTAGTGACATTTATTATTCTATTTGGTACATTACAAAAACTTGTGAGACATTCAGTTTCGGTCAGACTAAACCATTTGAAGCGTCCTTCATGCCATAAATGGATTGACATGGAACAAGAATTAAGTTAGATCGTTAAGGCAAGAAGAATGTCGGAAAAGGACTAGAATCAACCAAAAGGGATGATGCGTTATATGCATAAACTTTCAGATTCTTGGATACTACTAAAATGTAGAAGATATAAGAAGAACCTTAACCGAACTAGAGTATGAAACCAAATAATAAACCAGAAAATGCATTAAATACTCTCTAATAAATAAGTTTTAAGCTAAAATCTATTGTAAAGCTGACCTGATAAGGAACTGTACCTATCTTTGATTCTATTTCTTTCTTGGATTTCTCTAACTTGTTCTTTGTAAAGTGACTTCCAACGGTAGAGATGATGATAACGTCTTCTTCCCCTCCTTGAAAATGAAACTGATCCACATATCGTACATTCAAAGTGAAAAGCTTATCTGACAAGGAGCTGTACTTATCTCCTATTCTCTCTTGGAATGCTCTAACTTGTCTTTTGTAAGGTGAAACCACTCCAACGCTCGTCTTATATTATGGAACAGAGGAAATACGTTTTTGTTTTGAATCTAGAGGTCATGTATAATATCCAAATCATCGATAACTATGGTTCATTGACAGGGTTATACAATTCTAACTAGTGATTATATTAAGATTGATTTGTTTGAATCTTTTAAAAATGTGTTCGAGTCTTTTTAAATTAATGAAATGTGCGAAGGATAATCATTATTTTCGAAGCTCAAGATTGGAGGGGTTTTTTTTTTTTAGAAGAGCACAAGTTCGTTGAACGTATTATAACCAAGACATTTTTTTCCCCAAATCTAGTAAAAAAAGTTTTTTTTTAATAGGAAAAATTACTATACTAGTTTTGGAAGATGACTTTGGCTAGAACGAATTAGAATCTTTTTTATTACAATACTAGCGTATCTATTTTATCTTTAAGTTTTTTTGTCAACAAAACAGTATTTACTACTTTATCATTACTTTTGGCTTGCCACGTAGGCGACCCGTTTGATGGTAGATTTATATCTAATACTGATAGATTTACCGATTATTTGGTAGAAATATTTAATAAAGTGACTAGGTATCTCGTCCGCGCTATGCACGGGCCAAAGTGTATACAAATAATAATTTGAATAATAATTATCGTTCAGTAAATAAATACATTCAGATTTATTTTATCTATTTATTATAACTATACACTTATAAATTTCTTTTTTTACTTATCAGTTAGACGCAGAATATATCAAGAATAGAAGACAAATAAATAAATACAGAGATTTTTAGGCAGACATTTAAAGAGAAATTATAAGGTCCCAATTTCAGGATACAAACAACTTCTGCATCACGATTTTGAAACATTCGCAAGGCAAAATCTTCAGTCAATTTTTCTATCGCGTAACATTCGATCACACGTTTCCTACAAAATATAACTTTCTAACAACCGAATTAACTATATGATGACAAATAGATAATTTTCTTACCTGTCATCTTGGAACTCAAAAGGAAGAACAACATAATCTTCTTGTATCTTATGCTCATCAAAAATCACGAGTTCACCAACGTTCACAAGAACACAAATTAAATCTAAAAAATAGGTAGACAAAATTTAAAATATTTTTTTTTCCGTTTACCACGAATGTTACTATTATTCAGTATAAAAAAAATTCTACCAATAGTATACATAACATCCAGTAGACTCGTAAGAACACCCCCAAAGTCAGCGAAAGATAGAAATACATTGTCTCCAGGACGACAAACCGGAATAAATTTTGTGTGTTGTAACAAACTTCAGCTTAAAAGGATGTCTTACTACACGCGTTCAACCATTAAAAATTTTAACTACAAAACCACACAAGAGCTCCAATCGACCTTCAATAATTTGATCTTCAAACAAGTGAATGTATTTATTTCCAATTGAAGCTTGTATCTTCAATCTCTGAAAATATTATTTAAAACTCAAGCGAGACACAAATACACCATTGAAGTTATAAGAAGATAGAACAATAATTTAGAGTTCGAATGAGAAAACTAATATGTATATCAACGAAGATCATCTTTAATTTAAATTGGCGATTTCTATCATTCTCACGCCATTTCTTCTGCAGTTTAATTTCAACCGTGGTATCGACAACCAAGTTATCTATTTCAAAGACTTTTGAGAATCCCCGTATCGTAGCACAAAGGCAAAAAAAAACAGATCGTAAACCCAAAAAACACCCAATCTTTTGACAATATCGCTTATTTTACCTTCTACAATTTGGCAATAGCTAGGTTGTCTATGCCATGTGGCCATAAACATATTAAGAAATCGGTAGCATTTGAAGAAAAAAAAATATATACAATATCATATCTTATGTTTGTTTCGAGAGAATTTATATTTACAGGTATAACACACTTTTCAGTTTTGAAACCAAATTTGTATATCTAATATATAAAAGAGTTAGAATTGAAATACTCAAAGAGATATAATTCTAAATCAATACAAATAAATAGCTTAGTAGTTTTTTAACAATATCTTTTAATTTCCTATAGATTTCTTAGAAATGATCTCATCTAGTCTTCTACTTTGGCTTATATGTCTTTCGGTTTTCTTCTTCTTCTTCATCGCTTTCATCATCTCCTCAGACTTTTTTTTTCTTTCTAATTTTGGCACTTTTAAATTATTATTTTTATTTCTTCATCATCTTTATATTCATTTTTTCCAACTTTTTCTTTTGCTTTTTCATCTTTTGAATTTTTTTTTGCTTGTTTTCTCATTCTAATTATCTTTATCATCTTCATCTCATTTATACTTCTTATTATTTGATGGTTTTATTTTCTTTTGTCTATCCTTCTTCTACTTTTATTTTCTTCATTCTCCAGTGTATTTATTTTACTTCTTTTCCGGTTTTTGTTATTCTCCAACTCTCTTACGTTCCTCTCCTTCATCTTCTTTAAATTTGTCCATGTCTTCTTTCTTTTTCTATATCTTTCGAATTTTTTCATTGTCATGCTCTCAGTTTTTGCATTTTTTCATCATCTTCATCTCATATAACTTTACCTTCTTGTTTTTCTACCCACTTATATTCTATTGTCTTCATTTACTCCGACTTCTTATGCTTCCAATTGTTAGTTACTTTATTCTTCTTCGTCTTCTTCATATTTCAGTTTTCTTTTTCTTCTATTTCATCTTATTATTTTTTTTTCTTCTTTTTCCCCGAGTTCTTACTCATACTTTTCTTCTCCACCTTACTAATCTTTTACTTTTTCTTCATCGTTATCATATTATCTATCTTTCTTTCCAATTTTATTCATTTTTTGTTGTCTATTCCAACTTCTTATTCACCGTTTTATTCTTTTTCTCTTCTTACTTGTCTTTTCATTCTTCATGATCTTCATCTCCTACAACTTCTACTTTTTCTTTATTTTCCAGTTTTCTTTGTCATATTTTCTCAAGATGTTTTCTTCATTTTATCCTGCCCACTCATTTTATCATCTTCATCTTCTCAGGTTTCTTATTCTTCTCAAAAAATTTCAGCTCGACTTCATATTTTTTCTCGTCTTAACTCTTTTCTACTTTGTCTTCTTCATCTTTTGTTTTTTTTTCTTTCACTTCCATCTAAAAAAAAATATTTTCTTCTTCTTTTCTAACTTCTTATTTCTCTTCTTCTGATTTTTCTTTTTCTTCTTTAGAATTTCCTTCAATTTCTTCTGCATCAACACTTAGCACTCCGGTAACAAACCACAAAACAAGTCAAAAGTAGCATTGCAAAGCTCGAGAGGTTCATCAACATTACCAGAATAGAGAATGATCGAAAGAGTACTCATAATTCACTCTTCATAACCCCCATCCATTGGCCTTTAGAATCTCACAAATTAACTCAATATCACTAATATCTTCGAACATTTTACCTATACCAATAAAATATTCAAGAATATATAGTAAAATATAATTTTAGAAGAGAAATTCGCAGCAATAACTATAAAAAAATGAATAAAGAGAACAGCCAAATGAAACTAATCGGTAGAGTATTGTCTGTATACAAGTGGTTAAAAAAAGACATATATAGGTTAAAAAAAGACATCAATTTTAAGAAGATCGCGATGAACATCAAATATATAAGTGGAAGTAAAGATTTTGTATCACCTTGTGGTTTCCTTTATTCATCTCCAAAGTGTTGTACACAATCTTTGCATCCTCTTCCATCTTTAAGATCAACATGTGTTATATAATCGTGAAACCAAAAAGGCACAAACGAAAGTCCAAAAAAAAACAATCATGCTACGTAAAAAAAACTTAGTCCAAAACATCATGACACATACTAATCTACAAAGGACAAAAAAATAACAAATCAAGTAAGAGATAACAACAGAAGAAGATAACTTAAAAAAAAAGCTATAATCTAAACGGAAAGAAACTATCAAAAGAACATATAATACACAACGAATCAAATCAAACTGCAACTGAGTTTGTTAAAAAAAATAGACAAATGATGAATCATCAGAATTTCAAACGGTAGTAAAATCCTACAATAACAGAAGACAGATAAGTTATACAAATCAAAAAGTTATAAGAAGACACCATAACAATTCAACATGAATAAAAAATCGAAGAAAACACCAAAAGTAAAATACCAGAGCTAAAATATAAAATTACCTAGAGTCAGCAAACAGTATATAAGATATATGATTAGGGTTTTCATTAATTCTATA